TTTATGAAACTTCTAAATATGTTTTTTGATCTGTTCAAAATACCGAGCTCCCTCGAGCTTGGCCTCTCCAAAACTTCGCACTGATTCCCTTTCTTGCTAGTATTTTGATGCGCTTGCATGTGGATCCTGGTTGTAATCCGATCCTAGCTACTATGCCCTTACTTCGACCAATACTAGAGATTGAGATCTAGTAGTAGCTAACACTTGCTAATACCGTCGGATGTAGTAAGATTGAAGTGAATTCGGATAGCGTGGAGGTGGTGAATGCGTTGAGCCAAGGCTACTCTTCTTCAGTCGCTTCATCCATTATAGATGACTGTTATTTCATGTCATTAGGTTTTTCCCATGTCATTTATGATCATTGTAATAGGGAACGTAATCGAGTAGCTCATGAACTAGCAAGGTTAGCTAGGTTTTCTTCTCTGAGGATTTGGATGGATAACTCCCCTGATGAGGTTATCGCTTTACTTGTAAAGGATGCTACTTTACTTATGAATGAATAAAGGAGAAGAAGTTTATCAAAAAGAAAAAAGGACGATCTCAAGGAGCTTTGGCGGAATGGAGGGAGGAACATCAAGGCCTCGATGGCCGCCGAATTCTCTACTTGGCGGCTGGTCATCGGCACGCAGATTGCCGATTGCTAGTGGCGGTGGATCTGTTGCAGAAGCAAGGCATCAGCAACAAGGAAGACGGTGCAGGGGAGGCATTGGTGACGGATCTCGTTGATCCGTTGCAAGGGTACCACACCTCTATACAATGTGCTAACACGTGCGACACCTTGGGCCGATGGCCACGGTTGTGCATCATCTCGGTGATTGACGGGCCGTTCATCGGCCCGGCGATTCCTCTGGCCAATAATGCACATGAATTTCGCCGGATCATGATTTTGGTATGCTGCCTCTTGAAATGAGCACCTGTAAAGGGGCTATGTTTTAAAGCAGCAGCAAAGTCAGTGAACCAAAAATTCCAAAACATATGAGGTTTTTTGATTGTTAAGAAATTAGATAATTTTTTCTTAATCTTAATCCAAATTAGTATCATCACAAGATTACTGCCATGACAAGTCGCATACGACAGGCTAGGAACATTTACCATATATGCATATGGGTCAGAGGGACATGTCAAGAGAGAGAGATTCCGAACATATGAGTTCACCCAAATTTGAGGTGCAACAGGGCCATGATAGTGAAGATAAGGTGTCTGCTTGTTGTAGAGGAATAATTTCGAACGATCGTCGTGGATGTAGTCAAACTTGAGCGAACAGTCGCACTGAGATGATCCCTAAAAACCTTACTGCCCACTAGTAGAAAACATGGCTTTGGTCCAAGCTCGATCTACACATTAGTCCCGGTTGCATTACGAACCGGACTAATGTGAGCATTAGTCCCGGTTCAAATGGGACCTCCCTTTAGTCCTGGTTGGAGCCACCAATTGGGACTAAAGGGGTTATGAAATTTGTTTTTTGTTTTTTCATTTGTTTTTTGTTTTTTGTTTCTGTTTTAAATTGCTTATATCTTTTAGGATATTTGATGTTTTTGAGTGATTCTTTTTTTGCATTAGATTCAAAATTTTGTCTAGTTTCTGTTTATGCCATTAGTTTTCAAATTTAAATGATTTAAATTTATTTATTTCAAATTTTCTTCAAACCCTAGATTGTGAATAATTTGAGTTTAAAATAGTTTTTAATTTAATTATTTTTGCTCCTAGTCACATGTTAGATTGTTGTCATAGTAAGATTTATTTGGTTATTTTTAGCATAATTTAAATCAGGATTTTAATTAAAACATTACTGTTTTGCTTATATAGTTGTTTTAGTCCTTTAATTGTTGTTTTCAATTATTTTTAGTTAGTTCTTTCTGTAGATTTTAACATGTTGTAGTATGCTTCTATTAGACAACAGTAGATAAATTTTTATAATTAATTAATATTAATTTTGCTACTTTTTTGTATTAATAGTTGTTTAGCCTTTAATAATAATTGATAGAATTAGTTTTGCTATATTAAAAAGTAATTCTTTTTGCCACTTTAATAGAACGTGACTCTGGCTTGGTTAACCTTAGTTGCGACTCTGGCTGGGACGGTGCTAGTAGATGTAGTCGACGGTAGGATTTGATGGACACCATCCCGGAATAAAGGGGTTCTGCAATTTTCAAACTCTACCCCACCAACCCCCATATCGCCATTTCAGTTTTGAAAAAAATAAAAAAATGGTAAAAACTTCAAAAATTAAAATCCTTCGAGATGTAATTATGTTACTACATCTACTAGTTAGGAAAACTAAAAAACACAATTTTGGACATGTTTTGCAAAAAATGTTATGAAAAAGGAAAACAGCTATAACTTTTGCATATGATGTCGGAAAAAAACGTATAATATATCAAAATGTTCAGCATGAAAAGTCGGTTCTAATTTCGATGGCCATAGGGTGTTTTGCAAATTTTTAGAATCCTCAAATTCTGAAAGGAAAAAAGGTTATGCTCAAATTTATGTTTTTTTGATTTTTTGGTCAAACTCTGGTCAAACTTTGGTCAAACTATGGTCAACTATGGTCAAATTACTTATTCAAGAAATATTAGTGTTACTAAATAATTATGGTTTTTTAGAATAATAGTTTTAAATTCAAACGGTGAAACGTGTGACTTCATGCTCAAGTTTAACTCCTAAGGGTTAATAGGATTGACAGCTTACTATTGTCAGGAAAGCAACAAATGCAGACTTGGAAACGAGGGGGAATAGAACTCGGAAGTTAAGCGTGCTTAGACTGGAGTAGTGAGAGGGTGGGTGACCGGCTGAGAAATTAGACGATTTGGAATGAGTGTAATGAGGGGTAATTAGAGATTAAATTATCAAATAATTCAGAAATTCCTTTAGTCCCGGTTGGTGTTACCAACCGGGACTAAAGGTGGAGCTCCAGACTGCGCCCACGTGGAGCCCCTTTAGTCCCGGTCCATAGTCCAACCGGGACTAAAGGCGGAGCTCCAGACAACGGCCACATGGAGCCCCTTTAGTTCCGGTTCATAGTCCAACCGGGACTAAAGGTTTTGGGTACTACTCCTGTTTTGTTTTGTCCCGGTTCCAGTACCGGGACTAAAGGCCCGTTTTCTACTAGTGGCCCCTAACACGGTGCAACTTGTCAAGGGGCGCAGTTTTGAAAGCCCAACGCAAAGAACTTGGGACGGGTTGCCGGAGAAGCAGCTCAACGCAAAAGAACTTGGGGACAAATGCATTCCTCCCTTAGTCGGAACCACCTCACGAGTTTTGCCCTTAATTTTCGTCTCTGCTCAGTTTTGCCCTTAGATTTATGTCTCAGATCGTCCGAGTGCCCTTTTGACCGTTTGACCAATACATTGAAAATTCATATGAACTTGCAAAAATGCAAATAAGATATCAAAATGTTGGAAAAACATCATATTTTTGTGCTGCCATTTGCATTCAGGGAAAAAATTATTTAAAATACCTGAGGTTATTGATGTTATTAACATTATTAAAAAAATAAAAGGCATAAAAAATAGTTTTTTCATGAATAAAATTACATGCAAATGTAGGTGATGTTTTCTGAACCTCCTGATATCTAATTTGCACTTTTTCTGAGTTTGTATCAACTTGTTATGAATTTTCAAATAACTTTGACCATTACTTTAAAAATTATAACAAGCTGATATGAACTCGGAAAAATGCAGATAATATATCAGAATGATCGGAAGACATCACCTATATTTGCCTGCAATTTTATTCGTAACCACATGGTTCACGGAGCGATCGTGCCTTTTTTTTAGCAGTGGGTCTTTTTTTAGGGGTAGCAGTGGGTCTTATTATGCCTGCAAGTTCTGGCATGATCAGGTGGGCCTAACGTGAAACAACCCAAGGCCCAGGGCCCAGGGCCAGTTAAATCACGACTCAGTCTAAAAAAAACTTGAGCAGGTGCGTAGTCGCTCTCGTAAGGCGGAAAACGCCCCTCGTCTCCTCGCGCCCTCCTCTCTCCATAGCCACCAAGAGGAATCTCGGCAGGTCGCCGCCGGCGTAGGCGAAGGAAGATGACGCGGAGGGCCTCTTCTCTTCGCGCTCCTTCGCCGACTTCGGCCTCCGCCTCCACCCTAACCCTAAACCCTAAACCCTCTGCGCCCGCCCGCCTCCAAGGTCCCTCCCTCCTCTCTCCCTCTCCGACTCCCCGTGTGTGTCTCCCGACGCCCTGGTGGTATGGCTGTCCCCTCGGTGAACATATCATTTTTTTTAGCTCACCCCCTAATGTAGCCCACGTATTATTATTTTTGAGACAAATCTGTGCATATGGCATCCAAATTGTCCAATCTGAATGATTGAAATGATATTCGTAGTTTGAAGTAGTACAAGTTTGACCAAAGACATGTCCAAAACGTCACCCACCTAGACCTAGTTCTGAATCTGTGATATGGAGAGAGTAATATGTCCAAAACGTCGCATATGCATTCTATTGGATTTGTGCATAGGAACCTAGCTTGTTCGCCGTCTTCATTTCAGAAATGACTATTTTTCTGACCTTCCATGTCACCTTAATTTACAGTGCAATTTTGAGAAGTAGACAGTTCAATAATCTCCTTTGCATTAAAACCAGTGCCTAGGTATAGTGTTTCCTTCATTCTCATGTCTAACAGGCCCAATAAATGGATCAAAAGAATAACCAAGTACACATAGTTAACACTATATTTGTTTAAAAAAACACCAGATTCACTTTTAGAGCAGCTCTCTAAAAGAGTTTGTTCAGAATTAAAAAGAACACTCAAGGTACCATTTTACAGTTGCCTTCTATTTATTTCCAACATATTGCCGTGTATGTTGCGCAGTTGGACAAAATAAAAACAAGGTGATTATAAACATTCGAATGTCCATCCATCTCCTTCCAAGATAGTTTCCGATGCTCATCTCTGACAAAAGAATGTCTTGCCGTCTTCAGAACATTTGACCCATTGTGTTGAGAACCATGCAAGGAAGTTGTCTCCGCAGTCTGCAAAACTGTTCGAATCTTACTCATCACCATGCGTTTCATTAGGTTTCCATTTGGATATAGCATAGATTACTCTCCCTTTCCATCCTTGTAGCAGCCAGGCGCAATCTTCAACAGCAAAGAATTCCTCATGATAATGTAAGTTCTTCATGTGTACTATCTTCTTTAAGATGGCTTGATCTACGGGAAGCTGCTGGAACCCAGCCTTGAGGAACCTTCCTTGCCACTGCCTGTAACTTTCTGGCCTGTGAGTCCTTTCTGCATCCTCACATGCTATTATGTTAAGTGCATCCCGCCCAAATGGGATCCTCTCAAGCATCTTTCTTGCTTCATTATCCCGTGGAACATTTGCATCAAGCATGTCAAACACTGAAGAGTAATGGAGCATAACTTCTTTGAATCGTTGTATGAAGAAGGGAGAACTATGTAACCCGTTCACAGTGCCAGAAATAAAAACCTTTGGGTTCATCCTCCTCATAGTTTTCAGCACCTCGTCCCTTGCACTATTTATGCCATCGGTTTCATGACCAAGATTCTTCATCCGGAATATGCAGTTGATTATGAGAACTTCATCCTCGTCAATGTTAAGATCCTCAATTTTAACGGTGTCCCATCTTGAAGCGGCAATGCCCTCATACTGAAACGGTACCCTGAACATGTTTGCATAATCAGCCAACCGCTTCCCTGTCTCCTCGATCATTTCGCAGGGGCGAAAACCTGGCTGAGCAACGTCTATACCTGTGATCCGAAGCTTAGGGGCTCCCTCTTCTTGATGTGCAAACTTCTGAATCATTAATGGCCACTGAAAGCCATAGCCAATGCCAAAATCAATGATGTGCACCTTTGGTTGCCCTTTTGAGACATCAAGAATAGCTTGGCTCGCAAAGTAATATAGCGTCCTGACAAAAGGGCAAGTTGCAACGAAAAGGCTGTAAGCCTCTAACCAATCCGTGGGACTTGTCCGCCTCTCCATGAGGGTGCGATAAACCTGACTCCCGCTCCCAGCCAAGCGTGCCTCAAGGCCATCCGCCAAGTAAAATGCCAGTCTCTCAGTGCAATCACCATCTGCTGAAGAGTGTTGTCTTATCTTCAATAGCAGTTCACTGGCCAACAGGTAGCTGTTTTCTGCCACAGCTTGTGCACAATGGATGAGGAGAGTCCTGAGATCAACTAACTCTTTCCTCGGTTGCATCCTATCCCTTAGCTTCTGACGTCCTTTGCTCCGGCCTTTCACTGAATTCTTGTTTCCTTCCACTGACATCCCTCTTGTCAGTCTTGCTGTTTGATCGGAACTCTTCCAACCATAGCATAGCAGAACTCGGTCGAAATTTTCATTTCGAGTTATTGCACAAGTGGTGAAGACAAGATGTTTATTGTTCCTTCCTTCCAAGACATCCCAGTTTTCGCTCCTCTTTCCTACTGTCTCCTTTATAGTCAGTTTGGAAATAGAAAGTATGTCATTCTCTAAATATATCACCAGCTTGCCAATACGTGGAGCAAACATCGTTGCCTCCTCGATGCCTCTTCTCTGACAATGCAAGGCAGGGAAACCAGATCTAGAAGTCGGTCCAACACTTATCGACGGCCTGTTTTGTAGAGAAAGACTCCTATTGCCGGTATATGGACTCAACAGGTTTGTTAAGGGCTGTAACACGCTGTAACTGGAACAGTTATTACTGAAGCTTGTGCTCCAGAGCCTCTTGTAACAGCTGGTACCACTCTTATCAGGGTTGTCTGGTTTGTTGTTGCTATGCATTGGCGGACAGTTAGTAGCCGGCGCGTATTCCTCCCCAAGAATGTCACGGAATGGCTTCTCAGCAGCCTGGAGGGCAGCCTCCCCTTGGCATATGTCGACCCTCTCGTCGACGTCATCCATCAGCATGTGGCTTATGTAGTGAAGGGCATGATTTGATCTGATCCGGCGGTGCTCAGGGCTGCCCCCTGTAGCAATCTTAAATTGGTCTTGTCCATGGCTGCTGTTGACACTTGCTTGGTTGGCTGGGGAGAGAACTGTGGAGTGTGGACCACTCAGGTCGTGGTTGTACACGGTAAGTTGCTGCTGGGAAGAGAAATCACCCTTGTATGATTGGTTGGTTGCTATGACAGTCTCCAGATTGTCACAGGGAGGTTCAGTTGCCATTGTGGAAAGTCTGATTTCCACCTCAATATGTGATATATTATGCTTCTTTGTCCCACAGCAAATGAATCAGCTTCTTTCCTGGACGAAGAAAAAGGGAAATGGAAACTAAATTATGTGAGACGAATTTTTGTTCACCTTGCTCATGTCCTATAATCCCGCAGCGCAAAAAGGAGTTCTGCTTCTTCCTTTTTATTAGAGATTCAGCTTATGATTGTTTTTGCATGCCATACTGATTGGAAAAAAAATCCATAGGCTTGCAGACACAAGAACAGCTGTTTTAGCCAGTTAAACATAGAACGTTTAAGCATCCATAACTAAAGCAATTTTACCAAAAAAGGGTTTCACCCCGCTTTGTATTCCAAAGCACCAACCAACAGTACAAACGCGATGCTGGGGCGAGCAGCACAACAAGCCCAAAGAAGAAAGGAAGAAGAAACAAATGCCAACAACGGCAACTCGACTAAGCGCGGAAGCCCCGCCACCGCTGCGCCCTCCAGAGACACTACACCACAGCCCGAGGTTCTGAGTGCCGCGTACCAAGAAGCACCTCCAAGAAGGTATGCGACGTCGACGACGCTGCTGCCTGGACGAGTCCTAGGGTTTCCCCCGGTACGCGGAGGGAAGTGGAGAATGGCTACCACCGACACCCTTCAAGAAGGAATGGTGGCACCCGCCGGTGTCACCGCATCGAAGCCGGACGAGCCGGCAAGGATTTCTCCCGCACGCCAAACACCACCGCCCATCCGGAGCCTACCAACCAAACCACCGCCCAATGCGCCATCGCGGTTGCGCCGCCACCCACGCCGTCTCACTACGAGCACCAACACGAGGCCGAGAAGACCGGAGAGAAGCGCCACACGACGAGAGCAGCAGCACCAAGGCCGAGCGGGAGGGAACCACCTCCACCGCCATCGTGCGAGAAGCCCGCGCCTCGGCACCATCGCGGTAGCCGACCGGACACGGCAGCGGGGCATACCAGGGCACCCCTGGCCCGGCTAGGCCTGAAACAGGCCCGCTAAGCCCCGCCAGCAGTGCTGCAGCAGGCTGGCGTCGACACCGCCAGCCCCCGTCGCGCAACGCCGCTCCCCTGCCTCCCGGGAATCACGCCGCCAACCCGCGCCGCCGCCGGCCTGGCCAAGACCAGATGGGCCCCGTAGGGCCTAGATCTGGGCCGAGCTCTGCCGCCAGGACGTGCCGCAGCGCCACCCCGCCGCCAACGACGACACCGCCGTCCAGCCGCTCGCCCGCCCTGCGACGAGGCACCCCGCCGCCAGCAAGGCCGTCGCCGCCGAGGAGCACCCCCTGGCGCAGCTCCGCCCCACAGCGCCACCCCGCCGCCAACGACGCCGCCGTCGTCCAGCTGCTCGCCCGCCCTGCGACGAGGCACCCCGCCGCCAGCAAGACCGTCGCCGCCGAGGAGCACCCCCCGGCGCAGCTCCGCCCCACGCCGGAGAGCCACCGGGAGGGGAAAGGCAGGGGGGCCGCTGCCACCAGCTGCCACCCCGGGGCTAGGCCGGCTGTGGGCGCCAGCGACGGCGGCGGGGAGGAGGGGAAGAGGGGGGCTGGAGGGGGGAGAGATCGGGGTGATCTGAGCAAGTAGCAAAAGTAGGGAAGCACACACCTTGGTTATTAAGCAGGAGCAGCAGCAGCAGCAGCATCAGCATCAGATCCAATGCTTAGAGAGAAGAGTAGCGAGGATGAGGACTATGAGAGAAGAGTAGTGAGGCTGTGGTGTTGATGTGAGCTAAATTTGTCGTTCCTCTACCTTATGGCTTAGTTCCCAATGTCATGAGACTGTGACGGAGAATGGTTCAGATTACAAGCAATTATTCTGTCGATTAGTTCTAGGCCTGGCCGCGCACCAGACCTATAAAAAAGGGTTTATTAGGAGCGCTGGCCTGGGTTTCAGTCATTATTAAGGTTCCTAATTGAATTGTTAAAACAAAAGGAGATGCACTGTTTAAAGAAATTTGTCTTTTTTTCCACTTGATGTATATAATGGAAAAATTAGCATTTAGCTGGTACTCAAAGAAAAAGGAAGCCACTATTCAAAGAAACATGTATTTTTTCTCACTTGATAGTTGATAGTATATAGGTATACTGGTATTCAAAAGAAAAAAGAAGGCACTATTCAAAGAATGGCTGAGTTTTTGGATGGTAGTTTGTTGTACTTTATCTCATTATACCATCAGACTTTTTTCATAATTATTTTCTCTTTGTTTTGAGAGTGGTATAGTGGTATCATATAAAGCTTTGATATTGGTCACGTATGTGTGATAAATTGGATGAGTTACCACCATCTTCACTAACTACCTAGTATATGCTTGGTTTCTGCAGATGCAACTTTATAGGGTCTAATGCATTTTTTGACGTTGCCTTTGACCACGAATCCGGTTATATGTACTTATATAGTGTACGCGTTTGGGAGCATCAATCCTAGCCACTAGTCTCCTAAATCTAACGGCTGGGATTAGAGGGATTTGCAGTGAACAGTAGCCTGCAGCCGAATCTACTGGGTTCTGAAACCATCGCATTGTTCCTCCTAGAAAAGAAGACATATGCCTCTTCTGCCATGTTGCGATTGTCAGGTTGTGATGAGTAAAAAATAAACGTAGGCTGTGAGCCCATGCGAAATGGTCCAGGAGGAGAAACAAAAGCTGAAGTAAACAATTTGTGGGTTCCACCACGTACATCTTTCTTTATTTTCTTCAAAAAAAATTGGGTGACAGCAGGCAGTGGTTGTATTGTACTAGCAATTAGTAAATTTCTAAACTTCAATTTGGGCCCATCAACAATATAATTTTTTGCCCGGAATTCATTTACAAAGTAATGTATGTTTTTTCTCTCCTTTTGTCAGAATCACAACATACTGTTAAGACGTGCATTGCACGTGCATACACACTAGTAGCAATAATATATGATGTGCATGTTACAAAAACGTATACCACTAAATTACCTGAAAATAGTTTATAATAATATAATTTTAACTATCATACATCTCATATATTACTACTTTTATTAGTTTTTAGAGGCAACCTTAAACAATGTATTAGACGCTATATAATTCTATGGAGGAGGTATTAAAAGTACACACTTGCCAGGCAATTCAAATAGGCTTTTGAGATTTCAGAATTCTACTAGGCTAATGCACAAGATTTGAATGAACTGAGGCCTCCAAATGAAGGACATAGAACAATAGGGACATTTTCGTTCATACTCCCTATGTCCCATAATATAGCTACGCATTGATTTTTGCAAAAGTCAAGAGTCATGAACTTTGATAGTTTATAGAGAAATTTATCTATATCTATAATACCAAATATACATCATAAGAAAATATATTTCCTGGTCAATCTAGTGGTATAGATTTAGTATTCTACTTGTTTGCAAATTTTCTAAAAACCTGAACAGATCTTATATAGTTTGAATTAAAAAAGTCTAATACATACTGTGTTTTGGGATGGAGGGACCATTGCGGTAATGGG